CCCAAGGCCCCTGCCATGGCCCGGAGGTCCCACGTGCTTGACCTGCTCTCAGACCCCACTTCTCCTCTCCAGCCACACGGATCTTGCCCCTCCTGTTCCTGCCACATTCCGCTTCTGTCTGCCTGGGGGGCTTTGCACGTGCTCCAGAGCTCTTTCCTCCAATAGCCATGTGTTGGCCTCCCTACTTCCTGTGGGGTCTCTGCTCAAGAGTCCCTGCCCACCCTGGGTAAAACAACACTGCCCACCGGGTGGTCTAGCCCCTTCCCCTGCTTTTTCTCCTTCATGGGACTGAGCACCATAGATGACTGATTCATAATTGGGCGGGGGGGGGGGGCGGTGTCTCAGTATCAACCATAGCAGAACGTCAACTCCATGAGGATGGGACTTGGGTCATTTTGTTTCCTGTCATGTTCCAACCACCTAGAACCCTGCCTGGCGTGTGGTGGCTGATCAATCAATGGGTGTTAAAGGAGTGACTCTTGATTCCTGAAAGCATCCAGGAGCAGGCTTATCTCCAGACAGGCCTGGGGTACAGTCCTGGTTCTGTCATTTATCGGGTCACTCTCCTCAGTCTCGGCTCTCACGGGGCTGTCCTGAGGATTAAGATGGGGTGTGAATCTCAGCGTAGCACCTGAAAGGTGGTGGGTGGGACAGGGAGGTTCGCTCTGGACCACACACCCCCGCATTGGAGTGCAGGGTGGGGGGGTGCCAGGTGGTCTGGTGGCTGCTTGGCACTGCTTCCCTTCCCTTCTAGATGTCCTCTTGTATCTCAGGGCTAGACGCCTACAAACCACTTTCCCACTTCCCTTTGTGGGCAGACTCCGAGCGGCTCCTGCCCGTGAGACCAGATCACGTGAGAGCTGGAGGAGAGTGGGCCCCGGGATCCCTGGCAGCAAATTGCCCCACCCCAGCCTTCCCTGATTCCCTGAACCTTTTCAGGGGCCTCCTTCACTCCCCTAGCCCTGCCAGTGGTTTTGTGAGCTGAATCTCTTTATTAAGAGATTCATTTCCTACTTGAAACAGCTAGGGTAGAATGTTTTCTTAACTGAATCCCAAATGGACAAGAAAGTTTCTCGAGTTTTCCCAGAGGGCATGTTTCGATGGTGGGGACAAGCCAGCATGTGCACTTGAGTGGCATCAGGGTAGAAGCTGGTGGGACATTTGCCACCAGGAAAGGTGGGGGAGGGCCTCTCCCCTGGGGGGAGACTGGTCCCCGCCTCGCTCCCCCCCCACCCCGCAGAGCAGGCCTCACTGCAACAAGGACAGAGGGACAGCCCCAGCGGATGGTGTTTTCAGCACCTTACAAATATGAAGCATTCGTTAACTCATTCTCTCCTCACAACACCCCAACTTGGACAGTACTGCTCTCGTCCCCTTTACCGGAGAGGAGACCCAGACCCAGACTAGGAAGTCGTTCACACGGCTCGGAAGCGGCCAAGCTGAGATCCCGGCCCAGGCTGCTAGAGGGGCTGTGCTCGTCAGCACAGCTCTTGGTTCTCTCAGGCCTTGTGCCAGCCCCTCTGGCTGCAGAGCAGACCTCGGGGCTCGAGGAGGGGGCTGAAGAAGCAGATGATGAACTGACGCTCGTTCCATGCCTTGGAGTTCACCAGGCCCTTTCTCCAGCCCTTCTTATAATCCTTTCCAATTCCCCACAAGCCCTCGGACCTCGAGCACAAGTGTGGGGAAGGGACTTCTCCCTCTGGGGTGGAGGACTGAGCATGGGGCTGCGCAAAAATCTATGGCTGGAACTGCAGCTCTGCATAACTAACTGCCCACACAACCTGGGGGGGGAGTCCTGTCCCTCTGTGGGCCTCAGTGTCCCAGGTATAAACAAAGGGGGGTGGCCCGGAGGACCATTAGGGGCTCTTCTGGCACTGACAATCTAGAACCCTGCTTTAAAGACACCTTGAAAACCAAGATCCTTGGTCAGGGCGGAGGAGGAGACCACACGTTTTACCAAACCAGGCGGGGCCGTGCATGGCAGAGACCTAGAGCGCCTGGCCCAGCGGAACTGGGGGAGCTTGCCGTAGGACGGGTCTGCCTCCGGACAGACTGCCTGCGAAGGGGACCACGGTGCCACAGAGGCTGGCCTCGCCCCCTCTCTCAGCGGGTTCTCACAGGAAGCCAGCTGGCCGTCCCCCTTTGGGTCACTGACGGCCACTCGCTGCCAGGTGCTATGCTGGCCACTGGGGCCACAGGTGTCTCAAACACAGGCCCTGGCTGCGCAGAGCTCGGGGTAACCAAGGCGATCTCCAACCTTTGTACGCTCCTTCAAGGCCCAGTAGGAACACTCCCCTCTTCCAGAAGCCCTTGCTGGCTTCCTCAGCTCTGACTTCGCCCGTCCCCGTGGTGGGAGGCAAACCTACATCATGCCCAGCTCTCCAGGGCACCGTGACCCACAATCCCTGGACTGCGAAGAGATCAGGGCAGGCCCTGGAAGCCCCACCCCATGCGGGGGCTCAGCAGGTGCAGTCAGAACTGTTGCTTGGCAACCAGGACTTGTGACACAGCTCACATCTGTCCTGGCTGGAAGCAAAGGCACCAACCTGATCCAGCACCTGTGTGGTGGGAGCTCAGCTCAGAAGCTCCTGATAAGCAAGCAGGGTGTTGCCCAAATGTTCCCAGTGACCCACAGAGAGAGGCAGAGCCACACTGGGACAGTAACCTGCCTCTTACCATCTGTGGAAGGCTGGCAGGTCACATAAGCTCTGTGAGCCTCAGTTTCATTGTCTTTAAAATGGGCTTATAAAGCTTGCTAGCGCAGTCCCTGCACAGCAGCTTCGACTAGCTAATGTGTGCAGATGCAGCCGGTGTTCTGGAAAGGTGTTCCCCTCCCCGGCGCCTCTGAGACTGCCGTTCACCACCAGCCACACACTGAGTCTGTCCCCAGAGGACACCTTCCCCCTCTGAGGGGAGCTCTGGCCAGCCACCTTCCCTGCCCGCCCCAGGCTGGGCAATGGCTACCGGGGGCAATACACAGTGCAGATGCCAAGTCCTAAACCGGGCATGTCCAGAGCAACAGCCCCGAAGGGCAGCTACCTAGGGAGAGCAGGAAGGATGTGTTTGTTTGGACCCGTCTGGAAGACGGCCCCTGCTCTGGGCGCCTAGCCTGGCCCAGGCCCGCTACTCTGCCCATGGAGACACCCATTGGCCCGCAGCTCCCATCTGCCACATGGGAGAGGCTGCCCATTTCTGGGCATGGGCCGCTCGGCTTGGCTTTGCCCTTCACTCCACGGGGTGGGTAGTGCTGTAGAAATAAGCACTAGAGTCGGACAGACTCCTTACTGGCTGTGAGACTTTGGTCAATTCACGTATCCTCCCTGAGCCTCCGTTGTCCCGTCTTGAAAATGGGACTAGGACCACCCACCTCATAGCACAGTTGTTAGAATTAGTATCACCGATGTTGGTGTAAAGGACCTAACGGGGCCTGGCATGTATAAAGCACTGGAGAAAGGCTCCCGTCCTAACAGGGAAGCAGGCCACCTGTTGTGATCTGTACACACGGGGTGGCAGGAGGAGGAAGGCCAGAGCCAAGGGCACGGAATCTACCCCAATTCCCCATCTGGGCTTGTTGAGAAGTCCTTGGAGAGATTTAACTGGGATGGCATCTCCTCCTGGGAGAGAAGACCTCGACATCCACCCGGTGAAGCTGAAGGTCCCATCAAATCTGAAAGGCGACTTTGTTCTTCCTGGCTTCATCCGTTATGCATGAAAGAGCAGACGGCGGGTGCCTCAGGATTCGTAATTTGAGACATCCGGAGACTAAAGACATTGGCCAAATTTAAACCGAAAGATGAACTTGCTGCGCGTCTTTTCAGATTATGGGAGAAGAAAGGAGAGAATTTCTTAGTCATCTATGATCCACTCAGAATTCACAGTGAGTCGGCCTGACATCAGAGGGCCCCGCCTCTGGGTTCCGGGCATTTTAAATATCACTGTTTGAAAGGGACAAAGAGATACGTGTTGGAGGAGACCCCCACTGGAGCCCGAAGAGAGGGGCCTTTCTGTGGCCGGCACCGTGGGGCTCACAGGAGGCCACGGGCAGCATGACTACAGGTGTGGCTCCGGGGAGGTCAGGACGTGGTGGGGTCCAGGGTCACACAGATCTGCGTCTGGCCTGGGCGCACGACCGCCTTCCGCCCTAGCCTGGGTGCTGCAGCAGTAAGAGCAGCTAAAAGCACTGGGCTCGGAGGAGATCAAGTTCAGCACGGCCCCAGGCACACAGGAAGAGCTCAGTGACCCGCAGCTGCCTCTACTGTCCGTTGTTCTTTGACTTCCTCAAATGTATTGGGTCTAAATGCCTTTTGCTCTGAGGTAAACTTTGAGCCTTCTCAGTAGCCACCAACGACATCCTGGTTACCCGAGTCACAGAAACCAGGGAGCTGGGAGGGGTGGAGCTTGCTGCAGCCTTTTCCCAAGTGGGGAAACCGAAGCTTAAGGAAAGAAGTGACCGATCCAGTGTCACAGCCTGAGTGAGGCCTTGGGTCTCCCACGTCACTAAAACACTTTCCACCATCTCCCACCCCGGTCCCCACTCACATCAAAGCCGCAATCCGGAGTCCACTTGGACCCTGTCCGAACTGCCAGCCCCAGCACTTGACCCCCAGGCCCGGGTTGTGTTCAGCACAGAGTGTGCTAAATGAACGCGTATCAAGGACCCACGTAAGAATGTGACGGAAATGATGGACATCCTCCCCAAGAAAAACGCACACATGGACCCACACATGATCATATGCACGTTCCATGGGTTCGTAGACCCCTGGCCGGGAGGCCCCACCCTAGGTTTCCGCTGCCCTGGATCGCTGGTGCAGCCCCGAGCTCTCCAGGGATGACCTCGCCGCACACCCACATCTGCTGGGTGCAAAGGGGCCCCGCTGGGCTTCTACCAGGGGAGCACAGACCATTACCCCTGCCATGCCTCGGCCTGTGGTCACTACCACTGCAGTCCCTAAAGGCAGGAGCGCTCCCACCTGGCCACAGGCCACTCCCTCCAAGTGCTCTTTGTCTTTCAAAAAAAGAACCTTTATTACTTAGTCTTTTCCTCATTAGAATGTCTTTTACAGCAACACAAAGCAAAGCACAAGACTCATTTGCAGACACACGGGAGCACAGACAGCTTGTCAGCCAGGGACCCACACAAAGGCCAAGTCCGGTTCTCTCTCTCTCACACACACACACACACACACACACACACACACACACAGCACGGCCTCTCGGGGTTTCTGGACCCTCGTGCCAGGGACAGCCGGTGTCGGGACCTAAACCTGCTGCCTCGTAATAAAGCCAGGGGCCAGTACCAAGGTCTGGGGTGGGCAAGCAAAGGTGCAGGCGCTGGGCAGGGAAAGGAACGGATTCCCGTATTCTGATAGACACTCTACAAATGTCACCCCACCCCTCGGCCAGGCACTTCTCTGTGCTCCGATTCAAGGGCTTAGAGAAGCAGATTCTGAGAAACGGTGTGTGTTTCTCCTGGGCTAGGGAAACCTGCTACCACCAGCGCCTTGAGCTCAGTGAAGCCAGGCCTGGGAGGCACCCCCAGGGGGAGAGGGCGCTGGCAGCTTTGCTGGGAGCCCCGCGGCTGGGGAGGGAGCGGGAGGAGGACGGGAGACAGAGGACAGACGCCGCTGCCATGCGCCGACCCAGGGGTGAGGGTCGGGAAAGAAGAGTGTGATGCTCCGGCGTCTAGTTTGGTTTCACCCTCCACATTAGCATCGACACTTTCATTCCACGCAAATCGGCAGCCAGCCAGCGAGCAGGGCGCGGAAGCTCAAGCCAGTTGTCTGTGGAAAGGCACCAGATGGTTTGTTATGAAACACATTTTGGTCAGAAAAGAGCTGGGGTTTTTGGTTCCTGGGAGGACAACAACGCCAGAAAGAAGGGAGGTGTGAGCTGGGAGAGGCAACTTTGGCATCAGATCTGGTTCTCCTCTGCCCTCCACCCTTTCCACACTCGGGGCCTGTCTCCTCCTCTGTAAAATGGCGACAAAAGAGTCCTGACCAAGGCTCGGTGTTCGGCACTACATGCTGTCCCCGGAGGCGTGGGGAATCGGGGCTCAGAGACACCCACGCGGACGAGACAGGAAGAGCGGGCACGTGCCCGTCCAACTCGAGGAGAAGAGTGGGTTGGGGGACCCCGACGGAGGGCAGTCACAGATGATCCCCACTGTTGCAGTCAGACCCTGGGGACCCATGGGCAGCCAGGTACACTGGTTCTGAGCCCCGATGGGAACCATCTCGTGGAAGGGCAGACAGAAAGCTCTATGCAATGCAGCACCTTCGAGGAGCCCCTGGGGGCCACACCTGCTGTGTGCGCTTTAAAGTGCCAGCTACACGTTGTCTTTGGTCAGGGGCTGCCCCTCCGCGGGGAGCCCCGGGGCGGGGGCGCAAGCCCAGCGGGGCCCCGGCCGAAGGCACACTTGAGGACGCAGCGTTCTGCGGAGGCTGCGGGGCCCTCCTGTGCTCAGTAAGGAGTGGGGGCACCGCCAGGGAAATCTGGGTCCTTAGAAAGAGAGAAGGGACAAGAATGCTTTGGTCACCAACACCCGCAGCAGAGCAGAGCTTGCTCAAGAGAGGGCAGAAAGCTGGTTAAAACATGCGCTCGTGCCTGACGCAAATTCGGCTTCCGAGCTGAACCAGGAGTCACTGAATAAATATTCAAGGCATCCTTCAGTTCTTACAGAAAGAGCGGGGCTAAAAGAGAACTTTCTCCTTCCCCCCCCTGCCTGACTGGATGCAGCTGGGATTCGCAGGCCGCCACCCAGCAGAGGGTGGCTGGGGGTCCTGGCGCTGGCCCTACACCGCCACCAGAGGCTTTGGTCTGTCACGTGTCCCACCAGCTCCAGGGCGCTCAGAAGCTGAAGAGATCATCCTGCTCGGCGCCGCTGCCGTCAGGCTTGTCCCAGTCGACAGGTGAGTGGCACTGGGCGTAATGGATGTCCTGTGCTGTCAATCCAGTGTCCAGGACCTGAGGGTTTGTCCGAGACTGCGCAAGCCTGGAAAGCAGAGCTCTGTGAGCCCCGGGCCCCCGAAGGGGCGGAAGTGAGAGGGCACGGGTGGGAGAAGGCCAGGACTCGGGGGCCAGAGAAGACAGTCCTGGATATCAGGACGGGTGGCGCCTCTGACCGGAGTCTACTCTTGAGGACCAAAGGGCTCAGAAAACTGTGGGGCAGGCAGGGGCATTCCCGCCATGGGGAGAGGGGCCAGGGGAGCCACCCCTAGCCCGACTCCACCCAGAAAGAGGGGGAAGGGCAGCGCTCGTGCGGGCAGTGAGGGGCACACGCGCGGTGGGGGCGGTGCAACCAGGAGCGGACCACCGACCAGAACTGTTACAGGAAGGAAGATAACCTAAGCATCCAAAACTAGGGGAGAGGTAAGTAAATTACAGCCCAGGTCCTTAGAAGAAGGTGAGGCTGTCAATAAATGAGGTGTTTACAAGGAGTTTTTAACAGGCTCGGGGAATGCTCCTGATAGGTCAGTGTTCACTGAAAATCAGGATCCCCAAATGCAAATACCATCTTGAGTGATCAAGGCAAAAAGAAAAAAAAATGTGTATGTATAGGATGAGCATGAATTAAGCCCAAAAGTCTGGGCTGTGGGATTATAGGACGGTGTTATTTCCTGTTTAATGCTTTGCTGATTTTCAAAGTTGTTAATAAAGAGCATAGGATACTTAAGTAATCTGGAAAAAGCAAATGGAAGATTTTCTTAAAATGAGGGGGTTGCAGTCAGCAGGAAGACAGTAAAAAGAATGTCTCTGCCTCCCTGAAAGGGCCATCCATGCTGAACCCCCACCTCCCCAGGCTAGGCCCAGGGGTTTCTAGCAGGTTCTGGCAGGGAGGGGTTGGGGAGGAAGGAGAGGGCTGCAGGGGGCTGCCCAGGGTCCCCAGGGAGACAGGGGCACCTGACTGACCAGGCCCAGTGCTCAGAACCCTGGGCTGCCCAGGGCTCTCTCCAGCCCAGCCTTCTCGGGGCCATGTCCCCAAGCTGAAGGCAGCCATGGCTACAGGGCTGGCCCCTGGGAAGATGGGGAAAGGCCACCACCCTCAGACAAGACCAAAGTATCTCCTTGCTGTGCCTGACATTCCTCCTCTATGTATCGCTCCATAGGTTTCATTAAGCATTACCTCCTCCCTACCCCTTTCCACAACTGCAAAGCCTCTGGAGGGAACAAAGCCTGCAAAAAGCCAGGTTTGGAAGGCTCCACCAGGTGTAGGAAGAGGGAATCAACCTGAGCTGCAGAGTGTTTAGTTCATCTCAGATTGTGGTAGAGAAGCCACTAGGAATAGTTTTTGATTCAACAGCAAGAGCCTTTTAGCAGACCTGGCCAACCCCAGATAGTGAGTTCCCCATCCCAGGAGGCATTCAAGTTGACATTTTTTTGCTCTGGAAAAGGTCAGAGTTCATGTTCTCAGATATGGCAAAGGACCCCAGAGACCAGCCCACAAATGCCAGGCCCTCTTCCCCAGCACAAGGAGCCCAGCTAATGTTACCTTGAAAATGCTTCATCCAGGCCGTCATCCAGCTCCTTGGGGAAAACAAAGCAGGAGATACGAACCCTCAGTGGGGGACCCCGTGCTCACAGCCAGGAGCTAGCCCAGCCCTGGGTAAGCTATGGGGACTCGGGACACAAGCGTAGGAGTCTGGTGAGTGCCTGGGGAACAGGTACACACATCTCAACCCGCGGGCCCAAACCTGGGGTGTGGAACAGGAGAAAGAGGATCTGGGTGGGTAGAATTCCCAGCTCAGCCACCACTTAAGGGACACCTTGGGCAAGTTGCTGCTCCTCTCTGGGACTCAGCTTGTCCTTCCGTAAAATGAGGGGGTTGGACTGGATGAGGTAGATGGCTTTTAAGTTCCAAGAGCAAAGAGGGTAGGGAAGAAGGTTTTCTTGCTTTCATCCACTTCTAAGCTCCTGAGGGGTAACCGATGACAGGAACCCCACAGCTTAGGTGGGAAAACAATGGGCGGGGCTCCCTGCAGCCTCCCTGAGCAGACAGGTGGGTGCTAAGGGTGGTTCCCAAGCAGCAGAGAACAGGCTCCTGATGCCTACTCGAGGGGGCCATATCGAACGGGATTTGAGTTTCCCAAGTCCGTCACCATTCCAGATATTTTACAATTAGAAACGTGTGATTCTGCAAGTGATCTGAGAGCAGAAAAGGGACGTGCAGTGGACACATGGGGAAACGTGACTACGGCCTGTGATGATCTAACAGCGTCGGATTGATGGTCATGATTTCCCGTCACTGTAACGTGCTTGTGTGAGATGCCGATATGTGGAGAATTTGGATGAGAGGTGAACAGGAATGCTTTGTACTGTTTTTATAACGTTTTTGTAAGTCTGAAATTATTTTCAAGTGAAAAAATTTTTAAATTTTTAATTAAAAAAACCCAGTTTCCTCTGGGAGATTCTGCAGGCAGAGGTCATCATCTTTATTGAGGGGATGAAAAAGCTGAGACACAGAGAGGTCGGGGGCTTGCCTCGAGTCACAGAGCAAGTCAGGGCCCAACCGCTGACCGCCAGGCCTCAGCCTCCTCCTTCAGATGGCGGAGCAGGGAGGGGTGTTGGGAGCAAACTGTGCCCACGCCAAGAACAAGGGAGCCTTTGCCTGGTCCTGTGGTGGGCCCAGCCATGGGCGCTCAGACCAAGAGGCTGTGCATTGTGAGGAGACAGCTGTGCTGGGAGCCAAGCCTGCTGGGGAGGCAGCCCCGAGTTCAAAGGGACATTGTTTGCCCCCCACCCTGGGCCTGGGTGCTGCTGGGCTGAGTCTGGCCCTCCCAAAGGACTGAAGTCATGGGTGCCAAGGCCTGGGCCCTAAAGAAGCCTTAGGCCTCAACCAGGGATCAGGCGGAGGCTTGCTGGATCCCTGTGGGGTCCCCAGGCCACATGACCACTCACCCAGACAACACTGCTATTGTTCAAGGCTTGAGGCCTCGGTGCCTCGTCCATGTTAGTGGTATTAGCGCTGACTGTGGACAGCGGGGCCTTGGCCGTCTCTTCCAAGTCCAGCAGGTTCCCAGTGGCAACCACTATGAGGGGTCCGGTCAGGTGTGTCAGTGGGAGGAGCCTCCTGGTTCCAGGCCTCATCTCCCAGCCCCGTCCCGGAGACTCCCAAGCTATCCTGGTCCTGACTCTGTTCTCAGATATGGCCTTCCCAGGCCTATCAACCAGACTACCCAGAGCCCCACCCGAGCCCCACCCGAGCACCTCCCGAAGCAGCTGGACGGCTGCCCACAGGGCGAGAATCTCACCCCAACTAATGTTTTAGGCTGAAATTTTTACATTCACAACAGGTGTTAAGTTTTTTAAGAGATCACATAAATAAGATGTTAGATGTACAGAAAGAGATGTATACATATATTTATATAGTTGCATAGAGACACGTTTGGAAGAACATGCACCAAAACGAGCAGTCTTTCCCTTTATCTACATTTTCTAATTTATCTATGATGAGCATGTATTATTTATTTAACAATAAAACAAAAATAAAAAACCAAGGGTTTGCCCCAGCCCAGGAGGGAGTGAGTAGGGCCCTCTGGATAAAGGGAAGACCCGGATCATGTAGCTGATTCTGGCCCCACCCCCTGCCCAAGACTCACGGCTCTTCAACGACGGGGTGCTGTCTCGGAGGCCCCCGCCCAGGACGTCCCCTCCCTCTTGGCTGGCTTTGTCCCTCTTCTCCTTCTCTGTGGGACCAAGGCACAGAGCGTTGCAGCCCCCGCCCCCAGCAATCGCTGGACAGGGGCAGCCTGCAGCCAATGTCGGGGGGCAGGCATTAGGTCTCCAGCAGGGAGGAAGGAAACTGCAGATTTGACCCTCACAAGCACCCTGGGGGAGGGAGACAGCTGTTCCCATTTCTTCGCAGGGGGACAGTGGGACTCGGGGAGGTGAAGGGAGCTCTCCAAAGTCACACACCAGGTAGGCGAGGAAGAGGAGAGCCGGGCCTGGACTCCAGGGCCTTTACCACCCGCTCCCCACTCCTTTCTCTCTGCCAGCCTTCCCCCGTTCCACCCCCGCCCCCCACAGTGTCCCTGAACAAGACTCACCTTCCTTGGACACCTGCCAAAACTCAAAAGCGACTTTGAAGGCCTGGGCTACTGTGAGGGTGACAGCCTGCGCCTGAAAAACAGGAAACGGGGGGGGGGGGAGCCTGTCAGGCAGGTAACAGCAAGTCTGAAATGCGGGCCCGAGGCTCCGCTCCACCAAGGCTCCGAACTGGCAGGTGGGTGAAGGCAGAGTCCTGGCCCCTCCCTGGTCGCCAAGCAGCCTTGTGGTGTAACAAGGCCACGCCCTCTCCAGGCAGATGGGGCCGCATCCTCAGCACCAGCAGCCCAGCCAAGGTTCCTGCCTCTGTTCCAGCCCCCATGTTTGCAATGGCTGTTCGCCTCCACTTTTCCCCCTCTCCTTTGGGTTTCTCTATATTCAAATAACTAGGGGCTGGCTTCTTCCAAGAAGCCCTCCTCTAATTACCCGAGGACTTCACACAATAACTTAGCCCTTGGAATGAGAGAGCAGAAAAGCCAGAACTGGAAAGGGCCTGGCCACTGCCTGAATGACCAACAGCCAGAGGCAAAGGTTCGACCTGGTTAGCCCTATGCCGGCTCGGAGGGACTTCTAACTGGATCCGCGATGTCAATGCGTGCCCATGGCAGGGGACCAAAACCATTCAGTGCCATAACTCACTGGGAAGAGGGGGCCACCCCTTGGCCCTTCACCCCTGAGGAGCTCCCATGCACCCCTTCACACCCATCTCAGATGTCACCAGCTCTCTCAGGTCACCTGCACTGGGGCCCCACAGGCCCACCTACCTCTCTCTGGCATCATGCCTATCAAAGTGTCACCAGCTCACATGCCTATGACGCCCCATCTGGGTGCTCCCTAAAGGCAAGAACCTAGTCTAAACACCCTGACCCCCCAGAGCAGGCCACGCCCTCCAGAGGTGCAACGCTGCATCCGCCTGAGGGGCCAGCCTCCTGAGGCCTCCCTCAGCCAGGACCTACCCCCAGCCCACATTCATCGCAGCCTCTTCCTCTCTCTGCTTCCAGTTCAGGGTTAATCACAGCTCAGCTGCTGGGCTGTGGGAGTCTCAGAGCTCAGCTGTAGCCGGAAGCGACATCCAGCTTCCTTCTGACAGCCCGGGCGTAGGGAAGAAAGCACCAGATTCTTCCAAGTGCACAATAAGTTCAGGCCTAACCAGCCTCAGACCCACGCCCTTTCCCTCCACCAGACAACTTGATTTAATTGAGAAATGAATCTGTGGCTATTGCCTTTAAAACTCTTTTTTCTAAAATTTAAAATCCTTAAACAAGCTGGCTGATCCATGCCAATTAAACTTCATGAAGTATAAAATCTTATTTGAATCTCTCCGTCATTTACATTTTTGATGCAAGTATGGGTGCTTTATAGCAAAACTTAAATATGGTAATTAAGTATGAAACTCTTCACAGCTGTTTACAATTTAAGCTGTCACGTCCGAATCAAGTTTAATAGACCCAGTTACCACTGAGAATTGCCCATGAACTAAAAATATGGGCTGATTACCAGCCGGAGTCAGCTCACTATACACCCAAGACAGGGTTGGTCACCTAATGTGGCAGGGAGATGGAAGCACCATTATTTTTGCCTCCAGGATATCTGGGGCATGAACCTGATACTGTTTTTGCATAAATCTACTTGTTCACTTGCATACATTTCTGCCCTTTCGCCCCGAAATCCCGAGCTGCAAGTAAACCAAATATAACCCAAGATGCACATGTGCGCAGGTGGCTACAAGCCCAGGCTGGGCAGGGACTGGGGGTGGGGTGGGCCCCGCCCTCTGGGGCGGGTGCAGGAATCTGGGCAGCATTACAAGAAAGGACTGCTCAAGCCTGCCCACGGGGAGGTCTTCCTTCCCTGATCCCGCAGGCTAAATGCTTATCCCTCCCAGGAGTGCCTCTGGCCTGTGAGTCTCTCAGCACCTGACCTGGGTTCTACCTCACCCAGTTTTTCACGTCTCTGGCTTGTTCCCAGTAACCTGGCTGTGAGTTCCTTCAAGGGGCCAGGTCTAGCTCAGGACCTCCCAGGATTCCAGATCCCAGCCTAGTACACAGACCAAGTCCGGCCACGGGTCCCTTATGGCCCTGCTGCCCCGGAAGCATAAATCCTGCACAGAAGGATTACCTGAGGAATGCCGATGGCCATGTATGGGATAACAGCCCTGCCCCAGCGTGCCCGGGGTAGAATCAGGGAGGTCACTTTGTTTCCTGTCAGTCCACCTGCACTGCAACCCTGGGCCCCCCATCAAAGCCGGCAACCCCACCTTCACTTCAGAACCCTGAGGCTGTAGTGCTGGTGGAGGCCTCCCAGTTGGGCAGACAGAAGCATTTCTTTCTGGAGGAACTCATCCTGGCCATGCCCAGCAGGAGTCACCAGGGGAGGGAGGCCTGGTGGCTGTGCTGCCCGAGCTGAGCTGAACGGGTGGGCAACCCAGAAAGGAACCCGAGCTGAGCTGAACGGGTGGGCAACCCAGAAAGGAACCCGAGCTGAGCTGAAC